GTCCCCCACAATGTCCCTGTGCACCATCTTAAACGTGTCAATGAACAAGTCCATCCAGTCCTGCCTCTCGTCTCCAGTGGCAAACTTGGCTCGCTCAGCTGTATAGACCAAGACCGCCACCAGCTGGGAGTACGCCGCGGGGTCCTGGCTGTGCTTCGTGGAGTTTAGCAACTGTTCGATCAAGGGGATGGTCCTGGGAAAAGATATGTCGGGCCCTTCTTCTGTGCGGAGGAAAGTAACTGGGATTTCGCCGCTAGGCGGCCCCCCATCTGCAAGTGAGTGTCAAAAGTAGATTTTAAGGCATTTTGGCATTGGTGGTGTCCCTGACTACTGGTCTGAGGGATAGTGTGACCAAAGTGACAGTCCATTGACGTCAGGGACGGAAAGCACTCTGAAAAGGCTTAAGGCAAAGCACTGAAGGCAACTGAATCTGCCCTTGGCCACAGGAGCTGGTCTGGCAGGGTCAGGTCAGGGCGCCATGGGATTTAAGAGCTGCCAGAGACCTTGGAGATTTCTCTAGCCCAACCTCCTCATTGTACAAGCATGGAAACTGAGGCTTAGATTAGAAAGGGCCTCACCCAAGGTCATAGAGTTAGTTAGGGACAGAGCCAGGAGGATAATTCAGGACTGCTAAAAGCATGCTGATGCTGAGACAAGGCTTCATTAATACGTGTAGATGGTTAATTGGATCTCTCCTCTTATGGGCCATTCATGGCTGTTGCCTGGAGCTGACGAGGAGAACCTCAGAAAGCCCGTGCTGGCCTTCTCTCACATATGTGTGCCATCACACAGAGATGTATGTGAGCGGGTTGGAGAGCTCCTTTCCTTGGTGGGAAGTGACTAGGCCCTACTGAAGGTCTTGACCCTGGTTAACGAAGAATTCACTTGGGCTGCATAGATGCAGAGTGGGCTGCTGCCTTCAGGAGTCCCACAAAAAGTTACTGGTCTAAGGAAATCAATGTGGACTTCGACAGTGTCTACATAGCAACACAAGGATTGGTCAGTTCACTCAAAAATCCAGGTTATTACCTGGGTCTTTGCCTGTTTGCTGCCAAAAGGCAAGCTTGGGTGGATTTTTTACTCAAGTTATACCTTGAAGGTATGTAGACCCAATTAGTCATATGCTATTTTGATTAAAAATTGCAAATGTTAATTTAATTTTAAATTTAAAATAAAAAACCAAAACTATTTTAACTTAAAAAATGGTTAACTCTATTTGGGAGCTTTGGGGGAATGGATGGGCCATCTAGGCCTCTGGCCATTCTTTCTCTCTTTCATTTTGACTTCTTTCCATCCCATTGAGGACAGAAGGAGCAGGGTAAAGGACAGGGCCCAAAATCAGCATCTTTGGGAGCTGCTGACATGAACGTAGGCTTGCCTCTGGGCAGCTCCTTAGCACTTTGTTATTCTTGAGAAGCACAGTAACGAATTTGGGGAGAATATGCGTCAAAATGGCCAGTCTGTGTCAGGCAGACAGAGCGGCCAGTTGGCCGATTTTTCAGCTGGTTTGGTGACTTTGTGGGTGCTGTCTAATTCTTGGCATGGCAGGCTAGATATCGGAATACTTTGGGGCATGTACATGAGGGCAATGAGTCCATAGGTGGCTAATTTCTAGCTGATAGATTCTTTGTTCTGGGGAGTGGGCCAGCCCCCATGACTGTGAAGAAGAGAGATTCAATTAGACCCAAGTCACTGGGGCAAATTCAAATAAGAGGGATGTAACTGGCAGGAGTCACTCCAGCCAGCGGCACCATTGGTGACCAACAGTAGCTTAGTGGACATGAACATAGGATTCTGGAAGGACTCTGAGAGCACATGGCTGGTTACAAAGCAAGGCGCATGATCTATGCCTTGGTATGCAAAACCAGAGCTATTGCTTTCTCTTGTTCCCTGAATGTCATTATTTATGCTGATTACTGTCAATAATTACACTAGATAGGCTGTAAGCAGGAGGGCGAAAGGGGTGACTCACCTCCTATTTTATCACTTCCTATCGGGTCCCTGTGTAGGATTTGCTATCTCCATCCACAGTAGCCATTGGGTAGAACATGGTACTCACGTGATGATGGAGGGTAGATCACCCCTTCTGTTCCCAGTCACAGACTGTGGCCAGTCATCTTGCAGATGCGTGCTATTAGTCATGCCATTAGAGGGAAGTGGGGAGGGGGAGCGTCGATAGGACAGTGAAAATCCATCCCCACTGCTGGGGATGCCCCAAAGCACACAGCCCATCAGAGGTACAGAGCACAGATGTGCTGTCGCCAGATGCACCATCACCAAAGCAGACAAGCTCCATGAAGTCTATCCTGGAAATCGCCTGACAGTCTGCCCCTTGGTGGAGGGGGGATAGGGCTAAAGAGGCATCAAAGCTTGGCATGTGTTCCTATAGGAAGGGCACCAGGAACTTCCGACTGGAGCCTTTCAGTCTGCATCAGCGAGGGGAGGAGGCGTGGAGGTTCTGTTTCAATGTAAGCCCATATGGGAGAAGCTGAAGCTCCTCAGAGAAGCCCTGGCCTCTGTCCACAGCAGAAAGGAAAGAACTAGGGAGTGAATTTGGGAGCCTAGGCTCTGTTTACATTCCACTGTCGGGTTCTGTTGGCTATAAGTAAGATGTCTGGCTTGGACTCAGGCCATGAGTGATGGGCACCATAGAAGAAAGGATTTTCCGCCTTCTACTAAGTCCTCCTGGGGATAGGGGGTAAGCTTGGGTTCTCCAAGTCTGGGCCAGCAAAGGACCGGACTGTTAAGCTGGAAAGACTTTGATTGTGTGGTCTACGATGGACAATGCCTTGTCACCAGATCGGCCTGAAGGGATTCACTTTTTGGTCCCCGTGACTTTGAAGACCCACAGAATTATGGCTGAGATTTAGAGCTAGAAGGAGCCCAGAGGCCATCTAGTCTAACCTCTGATTTTATATGCTAGGCAACTGAGGTTCAGATCAGAGCCCCCAACTGTGGTCTCCGGCCCAGGCAGGATGGGCATCAGCAGAGGCCATGGAAAGATGAACATATTTGAATGGAGCGGCCCTGAGAGAGCCCGCATTGTTCAGTTCTGACCCTGCAATACAGGCTGGCATTTAAAACTGCACAGGCTCCTTTCCAGGTAGAGAGGCCAGCAGAGCCCAGCAGAGCCCAGTGCACCTTTTCAATGTGCCAATTGATTGTCCTCCCCGGAGGCTGGGGGGAACCAAATCTTTGTCAAAGGTCTTGACTTTTCAAAGCACTCCTCCCCCGTGGCTTCATTTAGCCTTAGCAATAGCCCTGGAAGGTACTCGGGCAGGTGTCATCAGCTCCTTCCTACAACTGAGGGAACCTGGGCTCAGAAAAGTCCTGCCTAAGGCATCCTGCCTGCTTCAAAACAACATCGGGACTCAAACCCGTCTCTTGATGCCGGCCTTCCCGGCTGACAGACAGTCTTTAGCCAGCGCTAGTATCTCACCTCCACACTCTGTCTCCCTCTGCTCCAGACACTGCCAGTGCCTGCCCTGGAAACAGAGCCAGAGCCAAACTGAGGAATGACCCCAGGACTGAAAACCCCGCATCCTCCACAGCCTTTGGAAAATCTCAGTTCCAAACTGCTAACGGAGGCTATGCACCAACACCGCAGGGAGGCTCAGATGGCGTCACACTTGTAGTTCAGTGCCTCTTGGTGGCCCTGGTCTGACCTTGGTCAGCCTGGGCCCCGCCAATGGGCTGGCCACCTGGCTGCCCCTGGTGTGCTTGGCTCAGGCCCTCACCTGAGGTCTCAGGCTGCCTGTGACCCTCCAGGAAGCTGCCGCAGGGGAGAACAAGACCATACCAGGCTGACCAAGAGAGACAGGGCCAGCGTCCAGGGGAGCCATGCAGCAGATGACATGGGACAGCCAGAAGCAGAGTACCCACAAGGCTCTAGGGCATTAGCTCACTGCCTGGCTCAGGGTGATTGGTTTATCATCCAAGAGCAAACAAACATTTTTCAGGCAGCTCTGAGACCCTGAGTCACAGATGAGACGTGATCTGCATTGTTGGAAGGTGTCTCCACACAGGGTGTTTTCTCTCCCTTCCCTTCCCTTGCCTCCCAACCCCCAACACACATACACAGCAGTGAAACTGAGGGGTTTTGACATCTTGGAAGGAGAAATACGCCAGTATCTTTTCCCAATCTCTACTATAGGAATTCTAAATTAGAAGACATTTCAACAATCACTGTAATTTTATACCTGCCAACAGCTCTCGGGCTCATGCCAAATCCCAGTATTGACTTTCTCTTGGCTGTTTCTAGGGTGGGTTCCCGGTGATGGACACTCTTACAAAAGCTGCCTGATTTCTCTATATTCAGGCCCTACTGGCTTGAGCAACCATGAGAGAAGACCACACTCTGCTTGTGTGGCCAGTGGGCAGAAAGGGCCCTGAGTCCCACAAAGAGGAGCCCCTGAAGCCCAAAGCTGAGAAACCAGGGAGAGTGAGCCCCATTCCCAGGGACAGCTCCCGACCTCACCACACTGGGAGGGTAATAGCCAGGGCCTAAGCTCTTGTTGGCCATAGAAATGAATGGATAGCTGAAAGAAAAAAGGTCCAGTGAGGTCATCTGGTCCAACCTCCCACCCATCTGCAGGACCCTGGAACATGAAGTTTTCAGAATCTTGCCCTGGGTTTTCTCTCTTAAACTAACATCCTGTCTTTGCCAGATCTGGAAGCCTTGCTCTGGGATGAGAGGGCTGGGAAGAACCAGTCTGCTTGGGCTGAGCTGAGAAACTCCTCAGTCTCCCTTCAGTGGAAAGAATGCATCCTGGGAGGCCCAGGCCAAATACCTCCAACTCCGACTCTAACCCTATCCTGGACAGCTTTCAGCCCAAGGCAACCCTGAATTTGACTTCTACCTTCCCTCCTCCACCATTAACACATGGAGCTAGTCTGCACTGTGCCTTCATTCCACACAGATTGTGTGTGTGGGGGGGTACAGAGAGGGGTGAGAGAGAAGGAGGATGGTTTGGTGAGGCAAGGTGCCTCTTTAGCATTACCTGTTTGGCAGGGAAGCTCGGGGCAGACAATCTGTGGATCTGGAGGAGAAAAGAATGCTTGATGAGAACGGACAGTCCTGAGTCCTAAATGTCTTCTGGCTCATGCCAGTACAAAATCCAGACTGGGGGGCTTTCTGGTCTGCTCATAGCATCATAGATTCAGACCGAGAATATGCTTTAGAAGTTATGGAGAACAATGTTTTCATTTTACATGTGGGGAAACTGAGGCCCAGAGAGGGGAAGCAAGTTGCCCAGGAAACAGCTGAAGAAGGGTTTCAATGAAGGGCTTCCTGACTGCATGGTCAGTGCTCTCTCTGCTGACCCACACCTTCTCTTGCCTTTTGCTGCCCCTCTTCCATGGATTCTCCTTTCTCCCCACTGGTGTGGAGCATCAGGGGAAGCTGGGTGGGAGCTCACTTGTTCTGTACCACCCTGAGACCCAGCCGCATGTGTGGTCCTTGCTACTCAGGACAGGGGTGGTGACTTTTCCCTTGGTGTAGTGCACAGAACATCTGACTTAGAGTCAGGAAGTCCTGAGTGTGAATCCTGCTTCAGACACTGACTAGCTGTGTGACCCTGGGCCAGATACATAATAACCTCTGTCTGCCTCAGCTTCTTCATCTGAAAATGAGAACGATCATAAGCCCCACCTCACAGGAATGCCGCGGGACCTATGATTAGGTAAATAATCCAGCCTGACAGAAATGCCATTTGTTATTGCTGTGGCTACTGCGGTTTCCCGAGGAGGTCCCGCTGTGGGGGCCGTGGGAGCACCGGGGGTTACTGGGCTGGCTCAAGGATTTCTCGATTCAAGGACCCCCCACTCTCGCCTCTCTCAGCCTCTGGGCGCGGCCATCACTCGCTGGGCCAGACCGCCCCGCATCCTTCCCCTGGGGTGGCGGCTCACATTTCTGCCTTCCTGGGAGAGCAGAGGGAGGGCGAGGGCGTCCCGCCCCTTCCCCATCCAGCCCAGAGCAGAGCGCTAGGCCCGTGGAGGTGACCAGCAGCTCCCCCAGCCCCTCCCCACAGGAGCCAGGGCGCCGGGCACTGACCTGGGCAGAGGAAAGCTTCCATCTCGTCGATGAACTTCTCAGCCACCAAGTCGGAGAACAAGGTCATGTTGCGGACTTGACCCTTCTGGTTGCAGGCGATCGACCTGAGGCTCTCGCTCTCGTGCTGCTCGTTGAACATGTCCCCGATGCCGATGGCCGTGACCACGACGTTCTCCACCGTGTTACACAAGGCCGTCAGGGACTGCTCGTCGTCGCGGGGGTCGTGGCGCCCGTCTGTGATGACGACCGCGAACACCTTCGTCTTCTTCCGCCTGCTGCCCTTGATGAGCGCGTTGTAGGTGTAATTCAGGGCCGAGGGCGTCCAGGTGCCCCCCGCGATCCACTCTAACTTTTTCACCTCTTCCTTGAATTGCGAAAGGGTGGTGATCCGCTCATCGTCCAGCTTGATGGCCTCGAAGGTCCCGTCGTGGCTGTACTGAACCACCCCGATGCGAGTCCCTGAAGCAGAGAGGACAGAACGAGTTGGGAGCGACCCTTCCCCAAAGGGGTCTCTGCTCCCCGCACCCCAGCATGGGACGGGACACCCTCCTGACCCCCTCTCCCATCCTGAAGTCAGCGACAGACGAGCGGGCACCTCCATGAGGTCCTGGCTCTTCCCCTATGGGGATGGTGCCTGACTCTGCTCTTTATCAGAGACATGTTCCAGACCAGGGAGATTCTAGCTCCCTTTTCTGAGGGTCCAGGTTGTACAAATGAGAGCGTCTACACCACATAGATGAAGGTGTGGCCCACACGAAGGCTGACCTGTGTCTGAGTTGGGATCCTTGGTGATGGAACCTAGCCTGTTGACCACATTGATGACAAAATTCTTCTCCAGTGAGAAGTTGGTATAACCAATGCTCTCAGAGCTGTCGATGACGAACACGATGTCCAGAGCCCCACAGTGCTTCACGCAGTCTGGGGAGGGTGAAAGGAGGGAGTTATCATCGGGGAGAAGGGAGACGGTGTCAGTGATTATGGAGCTGACAAGTCCCAGAGAGAGGCTTTGGCAATCCGACCTCACCAGCTTCCTCAGCTCCTGAACAGGCACTGATGCCTCGTGCTCTAGGGGAGGAACTGACTTTTCTTTCCCCAGTGAATCCAGGCATTGTGCTGAGCTGCTGACCCCAAATGTGTAAATAGCATAAGTTGATGTAAGGTCAGTCAGGTGGAAGGGAGAGGTCAAAGAAGGTGAGCCGTCATTGTGGCAAGAGCTGGGCTCAATCCAGCTCACGGCCCAGACATGGATCAAATAAGGGCCGTCTCTGCTCCCCCAAAGGTCTTCCCCTGTCCTCTGCCTGGACTGCTCCTCCATGCTTATTCTCCCTGCCTTTCTCCACATTTGATCATAAACTATTGAGTTTATCTTCATCCTGGCATCAAGCAGAAGGGCCTTAACCTGCAACAATTTCCTCCTGACAGTGATTTCCTTGGTGTGAGGAACTCCCTGGTGTGCATTCTCCCTCCTCTGATGCAGGTTGGCCACTAAAGCCTTAGGGAGGTCCACCATGCTCAGGGTCCCATAGCCAAGGGCAGGACTTGGCTTCTTCTTCCTGACTCTGCCACCAGCCCTCTATCTACTGAACCTTGTTGACTTTCCCATACAAACCAGAGCCAGCTCCTAATAAAAACTGGTTGTTGAATCGAACCCCAGCCCCTCTTGGTATGGAAGCCGTCCTGACCCTCTGTGCCTGTCACTAGGAGGTGCCCGCTGCCCCGGGAGCGCCAGCCAGGAGAAAAGATGCCAACTCACCGCAGCAGCCGCATGTCTCCCTCACATAGGTCATGACGTCACATTCCTTCCAGAAAGCAAGAGAGAGGTCAGCAGGAGCTGGGGACTTCTCCCTCCCTCCCTTCCCCCACTGCCCCCTCCAATCAAGGTGTGGCAGGGCATCCAGTGAGAGTCTCCCCAGGATGGTGGTGCCAGAGCCAGAATTTCCCTCTTGGCTCTCCCCTCCTTCCCTCCCCAGCCTATCCGTCTGTCTTTGCTCCTGGGAGAAGGAAGGACTATACCTTCCTGAGGTTTGGCTTGGTTTAGTTTCTTCCCAGAAGGGTCTCAAATGAGGGGCAGAGATCCTGTCCCACCCCAGATGCTGTGAACAATCCCTAGTCCTACAATCAGGCCTACTCACCGTCAGGCCAGGGTCTCCAGGGGGACCAGGTTCACCCTAGGGAAGAAGAAGTCTGTGATTAGGGTCTTTCCTGGCAGTGCTGGTGGGCTCCATCCCTGGTGGGCAGCTCTGCCAGTAGCTGGCAGCTTCCTCCATCTTGGGGGGACAAGGGCAGGGGGCTGTGAGAGGCAGGGATATGGTGCTGTCCAGGGAGACTTGGCTGGACACAAGGCTGGCCAGAGCACGGGGGCAGCAGATGCAGGGCTCAGCAAAGGGGCAGTACCTCTGGGCCTGGAGATCCTTTGGGTCCTCTGGGGCCAGGCTCTCCAGGGGGGCCAGGATCTGCCTGTAAAGAAAAAGTCTGAATGAGAAGGCACCGAATTCCACTGAAATCTGGTTTGGGAGGGGAGCTGAGTGAGTCATGTCCCTGAGAGGAAGACCCCCTCTGGGCTGCTCGCTGCTTCCTGACCGGCACTAGGAGCCTCATGAACACGGTGTCCTTGTGCCTGGCTGCCCCTCCTCCAATGGGGGAGGTCACAGGGGCAAGGGGAGGTGGCAGGAAAAATCACCCTGAGCCAGATCCTTGGGCTAGGCCAGGGGAGGGCGGCCATTCTCAACTTGTCATTCGAGGCCTTCCCTGGACCGGCCCCATCTGCTGCTTCTGCTGTGATGCAGTTAGCACGTTCATGCTTATCCTGCTCACTGATGATCCCCGTGCCCACCCTCACGGCGGGCCAAGGTTTACAGATCACCCCCTCCCAGCTGCCCATTCACAACAAAACTACAGTGAGTGGCCTAGCGGCCCACAGCTAGCAAGGATCAGCATCGGGATTTGAACCCAGGGCCAAGGCTCCTCCTCCACACCAGCCCTGCACTCCAGCCTTTTGATAAGGCTGCATAGCAGCCCAGGAGTATACTCACCGGCTCTCCTTTCTCTCCCTTTCTACCTGGGGCTCCTTTGATACCAAAGTCCCCTCTTCCGCCCTGTTTGTTACATAAGAGAATATGGTTATACAGGATGATGACCACTGGGGAAGAGCCCGAGCTAGGGTTAGAACTCAATGGTAAACATGTGTCTATGCCCATTAGAAGCATTCCCACGAATGCCATCTACTCAGTCCAAGGGAGGCTGACTGCATTGTCTGAGGGTCACTGGGAATCCTCCTGCTGCCTGGCTTTGGAGGGCTCAGCTCAGCCTCACTCAGCAGAGTCCGGCTCATGGCAGCCACAGACAGGAGGGGGTGGGCAGGGCGATCTCTCCCGGGCTCAGCCCGAGGGGCACAGACTTGAAATGGGGGAGGGGGGAAAGTGTGAGCGAGGAGAAAAGCGTTGAGCTGGGGATGGAGAGATGAGGATCCCTAGCCTGGAGATAATGGGGTGATGAAGGACATTTGTAATTAGTTGTGCAAAAATGAATTCTTGCTCATCGCCACCATCATCACCCAGATCTTGTGAACACTTCTAGGGCTCACCATGCAGGTTCCTCCCAGCCACCCTGGGAAGAAGCTGGTGTGAGCACTATTATCCAAGGGTACAGATGAGGAAACTGAGGCCACACAGGTGACCAAGGTCTGAGGTGTGATTTCAACCTGGCCCATGATTTGTGCCACCCCTTCTTTGAGGGATGTCAGGGGAACCTCTGGGGAGAGGCCCCTCGGGGAGGGGGTCGGGATCCCAGCTGGCAGACAATAGCTGAGCCACCCTGCCCTCTCTTCAGACTCACACAACTCAAGGCATATAAGGAAGACACTGTACCTCTGGGCCTGGGGGACCAGGCTCGCCTTTTTCTCCCTGTGAAATAAACACATCCAGATGAATGACCCCCAGGAAGAAAAGAGCCCAACATCGTGACATGGGGCAGCACTTTGGTCAGGGATTAGCACACTGGCCCCTTCGGGTCCAAGAGGCCCCGTGCTCAGCACTTCCTTGCTCCTCCCACGAGCTTTCTGCCGATCCTCATTTGCCAAACCAAAGGAGGAATTCTCCCCTCCCAGCGTCTTTGTCTCTTGCCCCATCCACTACTCACCGGTTCTCCTCGAGGTCCAGGGTAACTGAAGCCAGGTCGACCTCGGTCTCCCTAGATGAAGACAAAGTTCTTATGTTCACCTTCTGTAACCACTGTGACATTTGGGGTGGAAGCTTGGAGGCCTCCTCATCGCCAGTCGCCATTCGCTGGCCACTGTCACCCATGTGAGTGTTGTAGACCCCCCAGGACATGAGAGCAGGGGGTGCTGGTGTCACCATCTCTGGGGCCAATGTGCCCGAAGGCCTCTGCGTCTGTGGCTCCGACAGGAGAGCATGAAACAAAGGGTGTATTGGAGACCTTTCCTGTGGGGGCGGGGTCTTTGTGATGAGGATGAGGGTAATTACTAAGGATGGCTGAGATGTAGACAGTAGATGATGTCTGCGCTCCTCCAGGGCAGGCTCGGCCAGGAGAACAGAAGAGAATGAACTTGGCTGTGTAGAATGTCGGACCGGGAGGGACCTTCTAGGCCAGTTAGCTTTTTGGAGTGAGCCCACCAGAGAGGGGAGGAGGCCTGCCCCAGGCCACACGGGGACAGCAACAGAGCTGGGGTGGGCCCTGTTATCTGCATGCCGTCCAAGGCATAAATACTGCATGTGGGCTACACTTGAGGGGTCTCCTCCTGCTGTTTCTGGTGGGGAGGCAGGACCTCCACAGCCCTGTCACTTCCCTGGATCACAGGTGAGGGATTTCAGCTTTCTTTGCTCCTTCTTCCCCTCTCCCTCGGAAGCCCCACACTCCCAGGGGGGCCCCAAACTCTCCCATCTGAGATGATGCCTCGAGCTAAGCCAGGCCTGCGCCTGCTGCTGCAGGCAGCCAGCCACACCTACCTTGGGTCCTGGAGGTCCTGATTCTCCCCTGGGACCAACATCCCCTGGGTCCCCGCGTGATCCCTGAGGGAAGGGATGGAAAAGGGGAAGGTGAGGAGCCCCCTCATCATGAGTGGGCTGGCTGTGTTTCCCAGCCCAAGGCAGACCTCAGACCGGCCAAGCACCTCCTGCTGTCCTGAGAGTTACTCCCCTATCTGTGATCAGTCTCATGGCTCCTGGGCATAGGAGCCAGGGAAGAGGGGGGCAGGGGCAGGAAAAGATGGAGGAGCCAGCTCTTTCAGGCACTAAGAATTGAGGATGGTTGGGGATTGGTGGATTGGCAAGCAAAGAGCTGACGCTACCCACGGTAGACAAGCTGACGCCTTCTCCTGACTTGACCGGGAGCCGCCTGCTAGTGGCACCTCTGCCTTGGGGGTCAAGCCAAATGGCCATGGCGTTGGGGTGCCCTCCCCTTGGGTGAGGCAGCTGGCAAGGCTGAGAGCAGAGCAGCTCCGGGTGGCCCCCTCTGTGCCAGACGTCAGGGGCCCTTGGGAACATGGGAGAAGCGCTCTTGAGAAATGGCCCTCGGCTCACGCTCTACATTCCCCTTTGCTTCTCAAAGCCTAACTTGTTCTCATGATGCCACGGGCCCCTCAACTCATCACCATTTCCTAGGCTTGGGAGGTGACTCCATTTGGGGCACTGAGGGAGTAACTCCCAGGACTGGGAGCCGGAGGCCTGAGTCACAGCTTCCCAGAAGGCGGGCTCTCATGATTCCTGGGTAACTCACCTGTTTCCCGGGCTCTCCAAGGCTGCCCTGAGGTCCTCTGGGCCCAGGCAAGCCGCGGTCACCCTGTGGGGAAAGGGAAGTGGTCTTCGTGCTGAGTCAGCTTCAGTTGCCCCCTCCCACGCCTGCTGCTGAGGCACCCTGAGAGTCCTGTGTGCAGGACAAGACAGAAATGCTCCTCCAGATGGCCCAGGAGTTTAGGTGGAAAACAACGTATTCCAACAGGGAGATTGTTTCTTTATCAGACCTGTGACTTCACAGGTACAGGAAAACTCCAACAAGCAATTGCCTCTCCTAGTGCGTGTTCTCTGCACCTCAGAGACCTGCCCTGGGCACTATGAGGTGTTTAGTGACTTGCCCAGGGTCATACAGTCTGTGCACATCAGGGGCAAGACTTGAACCCCAGGCTTCCTGCCTCCGAAGCTGCATCTCTACCCATTATGACGCACAGCCTCTCTTGCAGGCATTTAATCTTCACTGCCAAACATCTGAATATATCAGAACTCAGAGAAGACAGCACTCTTTTTTCAGTGTAGCAGACGCAATGCTAGGGGCTGCACCCCTTTTCCCTATACACTAGATCTCCTAGAAGGCACTGGCACTTGGATACCTTGGGGACCCCTGCCATCCCTCAGACATAGCCTGGGTAGTGGAGCGTAAGAGAAGGGATGAGCTAACTCTTAAGTCTGAGTATGTTAGGCTAGCTCTGACCTGGGAAAAGGAGCTGAATGTGGGGTGAGGAAGAAGTCAGAAAGTCCCAGGACAGCCCAGAGTTGTTTTTTTTTTAATTTTTAATTTTTTTTTTTAATTTCTGAGGCAATTGGGGTTAAATGACTTGCCCAGAGTCACACAGCTAGTGTGTGTTATGTGTCTGAGTCCGGATTTGAACTCAGGTCCTCCTGACTCCAGGGCTGGTGCTCTAGCCACTGTGCCACCTAGCTGCCTCACCAAGCCCAGAGTTTTCTCAGGCCTCGCTGGCACCCCTGGCATTTTCTGATCCCAGGCTGAGGGGTAGGGCTGCCCAGGGTCAGCCCCTCGTTCTGCATGAAACTCTACAGGGACATATGTGGTTTGTGGGAGCCCCTTCCAAGCACCCGCGGGAGCAGGAGTTGAGGGTGCCTGCCTCCGCTGCTCTGGCTGCCCTGCGGTCATCTCGGCACCTGGGGTTTCCTCTGTCCTGCTGGGATGGCGCTCAGATGGGAAGTGGTGGGGGGGTGGGGCTGGGCCCACTTACCTTGGCTCCTTTGTTCCCAATTTCTCCTGCCAGGCCTCTGGGTCCCTCGGGGCCAGGGTCTCCCTGTCAGAAAAGAAACACCAGGACAAGCCTCATACTTTAAATACCAGTGAAATGCAGAGTTGCCGGTCTTTTGAGGGAGTGGCCTTCGTTTCTGGATGCTGCACATGCCTGGCTTCTCTCCATGAGAATCAAAGGGCTCAGGGACAAAGCTTTCCTTTAGGGTATTGGGGCTGGGGGGTTTGGGGGGCAGAGAAGTACTTTGCTGTTTCACCAGAGCCTCATGGGGGGGGGAAGGGCTGAAGGATGAGTCCCCTGGCGTCCTTCCCAGGTACCATTTAATAGATGAGAGAACTGAGGCCCAGAGCTGGAAAGACCCAACCCCGTCCAAAAAGCGAGGCCTGGCCCCAGGTGCTCTGCCTCCAAGCAGCCCTCTCTCTGCTCGCCTCTCTGCCTCTTCAAAGATCTTCTCTGGCCCCCCTGCTGTGCAGCTAGGGTTCTCTTCCCTTCCTCCCTTCTTGCTTCCCAGTCTCTCTCGTTCATAGAATCACAGATGGAGAGCTGGAAGGGACCCTAAAGGCCGACTAGCCCAGCCCCTCATTTTACAGGTGAGGAAACTGAGGCTTAGCACATAGACCTCAGATGCCATCACTTCTATACTCAGGCCATTTTACAGACTAGGAGACTGAGGCTCAGGGAGGGGAAGGCCTTGCCCAACATTTCATGGCTTGTCAGTGATGCTGCCACTCGGAGCTCAGTATGAGCTTGGCTGAGGTTTTTGGAGGGGGGAGGGGAGGCAGGATGTGGTGGGGGGAGGGGGGAATCAGGTGACGTCCGAGGGCCTGTTTTTGGGTCCGGAGTCTCCTTTGGAGCCCTCTGCTCTCTTGGAGCTGGCCCAGAGGCTCACCGGTGATCCTTCCCCACGCGGCCACGATAGGCTTACCTTTTCTCCCTTTGGCCCATCATTTCCGGGGCTACCTTTGGCTCCGGGGTCTCCTCGACGGCCCTGGCAGAGAGAGGTGCAATTGGGGGGGCTCATTCAGAGCAGAGCCAGGTCAGGGTAAGGGTCGGGGGGACGTCTAGGCAGAAGTCACTGAGGGTGTAGCTGCTGGGGTGGGGGCGCCTGGAGACGAGGCCGGGAAGGCAGCTGAGAAAGTGCTCCTGGGACAGGACTGTTCAGACCCTTAAACATCTTCCATCTGGGACAAAGCCCTGTTTCCCCACCCTAGTTAGGGCTCCAGTTTGGAATGAGCAAGAGGACAGATGTTGCCCCAGGGCAGGCAGCCCACAGGAATCCTCAGATACGGGCAGGGGTACTGCTCCTCGGGCACTGCCCGTCGGCCCTGGGGACAGATGTGGTCACTGGGAGCTGCAGTCAGGTTCTGAGAGTGTCAGTCACACAGCAGGGGAGGCTGGGGCCTCCTGGGCTCTCTCCGAGCTCAGCCGATTCAGCCCCGCACTTAATATGCTTCTGTTGTGTGCCAAGGACTGTGTCAATGATGAGGACACAGACTCACACAACAAAGGGGCCCCTGTTGTCCGGGAGCTTCCAGTCTCCTAAGCTTGGGTTTGGGGATGCAATGTCCCAGAGACATTTAAGGAGGGAGCAAACACTGATGGGTTGGGGAGAAGTGGGAGCAGGGAGTCTTCCACTTGGAGAGGAATCTGAATCTGCACCTGGAAAGCAGAGAATTCTGACCAGCAGGAAAGCAGAAGGGGGATGGGCTGGGCAGCCTGGGTGGGCATTGGAGACAGGTACATCCTGAACTTAATCTGGAAAGCAGCGATTCTGAATGGCAGGGAAGGGGAGGGCAGGTGGGCAGCATTCTGGGCTGGGGCAGGTGGGCAGCCTTCTGGGCATGGGGCAGGTGGCCTAGGGCAGCATTCCGGGCATGGGCAGGTGGGCAGCATTCTAGGCATGGCACAGGTGGGCAGCATTCTGGGCTGGGGCAGGTGGCCTGGGACTCCCAGATGGCTGGAGCAAGCAGACCTTTGCCAGGTTGGGGAAACAGTTGGTTGTGAGCCCAAGGGCAGGGCTGGAATCATGAGAAATAAGACTGGCAGGGAAGAGGGCAGAGCGCCTCTCGAGGGGAAGAAGACCTGGTGTTCAGAGCTCCCGCAGCTGTGCAGGGACCTACCTGCTCTCCCCTGGGTCCTCTGGGTCCTGGCCCTCCCTTAGCTCCCTTGATGCCTGGGCTTCCTGGGGCTCCGTTGTTGCCTTGGTAACCCTTTGCAGAGGGGAGAGACTGAGTCAGCCCCTCTGAGTGGGTGGGGTGTTGGACAAGTTGGGGCGGGATGAGGCAGAGCCTCCAGGGCTCAGCTGCTGGGGTCTGTGTATGGGGAGCATGGCAGAGGAGGCCCGGCCTTTAAAGCATCAGGCCTAACGGTCAGCACCCATCAGTCTGTCACAGACCTGGGCCAGCTTGGCCAGCCTAGTGGCCCCAGCTACAATTCCTAGAGGTTTTCAGAGCTGTCGGAGGCTCAGAGGGTGGGGGCCTTGCACAGCAGGAGAGTGAGAGAGCACGGCCCTGGGATTTTCCCATTAACTCTAGACACCCTTTGTGCATCGATTTCCCTACTTGGGGCCTTGGCCAGCCCGCCAGTCAGCCCAACAACCCCCCAAAGCACTTGCCGGGTTTCCTTTCTCTCCATCCAGTCCTGGGGGTCCTCGGCGTCCTGGGCGGCCAGAATCTCCCTGAAAGAGATGAAGGAATTCAGAACCAGCTCCCTGTGGAGCCTGAGTGGCCCATGAGACACTTGCTGGGAGACCCCCGGGCCCAGGGCCCCCCTCACTGCCAGTGCAGGGACCCTGCCCTGAGCGCCCGTTAGGAAGGAGGGCCCCGAGGGCGGGGAGTGCGAGGCCCTGGGCCTGGCTGGCAGGGTTGGGGGCAGCCAGTAGGGAAAGGCAAGACCTGGGGCTTGGGGAGGGGTGAGTCCCCCGTCCCTGGAGGTCTCTTGTTTTCCTTTGTAACCTCAGCACTTGGTATGGTGCATGGCACCCAATAAAGGTTCCATAAAGAAATGCTTGTGGATGGACTGGTTGATTGTCAGAGATGGCAGAGTGGGGACTCATGGGCATCCTGGATGGGACCTTCAGGGTCCTCTAGTCCAGCTCCTTCATATTACAGAAGAGGAAACTGAGGCTCTGAGGTAAGAAACGCAGGGCCCAAGGGCACAAAGGAAGTATGTGGAAGGGCCAGGATTTGAACCCAGGTCCCTGGGTCCTAGGTCCAGATCGAGTGTTCTCCCTTCCCTGGGAGATCTGGCTTCTGGAGCGAGGTGATGGGCACATTCTCAGGGTGTCAGGGCCACTTGCTAACAGGCACCAGGTGCCTGAATCCTTCCCCATCCTGTCCCAGCCCTAGAGGGAAGCATCCCTCCATGGAGGAGGAAAGTCCAGGCTGGGCAGCTTGGGATGCCTGGGGGGATTGGTGAGGGGACAACTTCACAGAGCCCGGGCATGGCAATGACTGGGGCTTGGCTCACAGCTCGAGACAAAGTGCCTTCCTCACCATGAGCCCGAGAAAGGCAGAGCATTTTTCATTTCCATTTGGCAGATGGGGAAACTGAGGCAGGGGACCTTTTGCAAAGGTCACATAGCTGATAGGGGGAGCAGAAGCCTGACTCCAAGGTCAGTGCCACGTTTCATTCAATTCAGTCTAAACAGTACATGTTTGTCAGGCGTGGACCCTGGCACCGTGTGAGGCACTGGGGAGATGGCCACCGAGACATAATGGTCCCTGTCCGTGAGGAGCTGTTATAACTTCTGAGGGTGGGGGTGGGACTAGAGGATGCAGTGGGTGCACGGGTAAGGATAGAGCATGGAAAGTTCTGAAAGCAGGAGGGAGGGCACTCCAGGCAAGGGCAGTGGCCTAGGCAAATGCCTGGAGGTAAGAGATGTTGGAAGGAATCCATGAGATGACCAGTAGTCATTCCACGTAGGGTGCATGTGGGGCCGAGTGTGAAAGAGGACAGAAAGGTAGGTGAGAGTCAGATAAAAGCCTTTAAAGGACTTTGAATTTCATCCTAGAGGCAGGGGGGAGCCATGGAAGCTTCTTCAGCAGGGGAGCAGTGAAGTCAGAGCTGGGCTTTATCCGTTTGGCAGCTGCGGGAGGACGACGGCGGAGGGAAGAGGTGGGATCAGGGAGACCCATCAAAAGGTGGCTGTGTGTTCCAGGTCAGGAGGGTCTGAAGGAGGGTGGTGGACCAGAGACACTACCCTGGACTTTGCGTTACTTTATTTTCTCCACACAGCAGCTGAAGGCTGTACGGTCAGTGATTCTTCATCACTGGCCATGCCCACTGAAGTCTCATGAGAAAGACAGGCAGGAAAAAGGCCCTGGGGGATCGGGGGTCCAATCCTGACCCTGATTCTGCCTGCTCAGCCTTCTGGGGGGACATCACCTACCTTACTGCCCTGGTCTCCCTGTTCTCCTGGGCTGCCAGCTTCCCCTGGGTAACCATCGAGGCCCTGTTGAAGGCAAGATCGGGAATGAGGACCCCTGGTCTTTGTGGCGGGCAGGTAGATGTCTGCCTTGAGCCCCCATATGGTGGTGGTGGGGAGGGCTCAGTACATGCCAACTAGAGCAGCAGCAGGAGTCACTAATGCGTCCATCACGCTCCACGGACTCTCAGCTGTGCTTGGAGATCCCTCACCATGGGGAGCCCCTGCTATTGGCTGCAGGCAAGGTGTCTGGTGTTGGATTCTTCCAAAAGCAAACATTTTGACCCACTCGGGCTTCGCTTCCCCTTTCTCTATAGCCTGTTCTATTTAGAGCTTTCAAGCACTCCATGTATCATTGGTGCAAACCTGCCCTCCGCTGATGCTGATCACAGCACCTATGAGACTTGGGAGACTGTGTGTCCCAGTCCTATCAGGACTGTAACCCCAGAGGGGCCCTATGAGCCTCCCTCTGGGGCTGGCTTGACGAGGCTTCTCACTTCATGGTTCACTCTAGCCAGCCTCCACGCCCCCAAGGTCCCTTCCCTGTGCTTTCAGCCCCCAGGAAGAGCCCCAAGCTTCTGGAATGGGAGGGCACACAAACAGATGTGTGGGCTTACCCTGTCACCGGGGTCCCCCTTGCAGCCAGGGGGTCCAATGCGTCCCCGCTTCCCCTAGACCAAGAAGAGAGAAAATGAAGACAGAGTGAGAAAAGGTTCTGAGATTCTTTTTGGCCTGGGCCTCTGGCTGACTCTGTGTGGGGGATTCCTGTGGATCTGTGCTCTCAGGAGCTGTCTGGGAACTGGGAGGTCATGGGACTTGCCCAGGGTCATACAAACAGTGCCAGCGGTGGTGCTGGTGGCCCAGTCCTCCAGACTCCATGGTGCCTCCTGTTTGCCCTCTGTCAGCCGGCAAGCAGTCTGTCCTCAGATAGCTTATTGCCTCCTGCTGACCATGCACTGGCCAAACAGGTTTCAAAGCATATTTCAATCTTAAGATCTGCCCTTAGAGTGGACGTGGGCCTGAGAATTGCTGCTTGGGGGCTTAGGGGCATTTCTGATGTGAGGCTGTGAGCCAAAGGGATCTCAGAGGTCACCTCGTCTCAGCCCCTCATTTTGCAAAGGAAGCCCAGAGTGACTCGTCCAAGTGGATGGTCACCCCATGGTTAGAGCCGGAAGGGACCTCAGTGTCATCAGGGCCAACCAGCTCATTTCATAGATGAGCAAACTGAGGCCCAGGAAGGGGAGGAGATTTGCATAAGCTACTTAGTGGGAAACTCAAATTTCCTTGTTCTAAATCCCTGTTATGGATTCTTCATGGGAAGACGTAAAATGTAAAAAACACTCACAGCATCACTTTCCTCAGGGGAGAGGGCACCCACAGGTGGGTACAAGTAGCTTTCAGTGGGAATATTGCAGACCCACCAAAAGAGAGGGCGAGACTTAGATCACAGCAGAAGATGAGCACTCTGCTATCTCGAGCAGGCCAAGGGGCTCAGCATCGTGGTGGAAGGAGGCTGGGCTGATGACGAGGGCCCAGGGCCTTCCCCACGGGCACCAAGTCAGCTTGGGCGCAGTTGTACTCGGTCCTGCCTAGGCACAGGCTCTCCTTGGGTGCCCTGGTTCTACGTCTCTTCCCCAAGGGCCTGTCTATCAAAAGGGAATTTGGGAAGGGTCTGGCCCTCCACCTTGGTTCTGCCCTTCCTGCCCCATGGAAGCCCTGCAGGCAGCAGGGGTGGTCACGGGGATCCCAACGCGGCCACTGTTACCTTCTGTCCATCTGTCCCGTTCTTGCCTGCCAGCCCCGCAGCTCCCTGGGATGAAGAGAAGGGAGTTACATGCTTGTTGTGTGGTTCTTCAATCAGAATATGCAACGTCAAAGATCAGAGGGGGCTGGCTGCCGACTTACCCTTCTTCCATCTCCGCCATATTCACCCTGCACGCAAAGGGACACGGGTTAGGCTTGGCCCTTCTCACACTGCTCAGATTCGCTTTCTGGTGGCCATAGTTTGCAGACCTAGAGCTGGGAGGGGTCTGTGGGCCTTTCTTGTCCAATGTCCCAATTTAGAGATGAGGAAACTAAAATCCAGGGAGAAGTGACTTGCCCAAGGTCATATGAGTGATAAAAATGAGAGGCGGGGTTTGAACCCAGGTCCTTTGCCTGCAGAGTCATGTTCTTTCCGCTGTACCTCACAAGACTCAAAATATTCAGGGCTCTTTTGCTAACTCTCCTCCTCCCCAGTCTCATTCCTTACCCTCCTCCTCCCAGCTAATCTAATTTATGAGCATAGTAACTGTGCCAAAATGTTCCTATTTTAAGGAAAGGGGGGTGCTCTGAATTAGGAGACCCTCATGGAAAAGGGAGCTTCCATGACAGTGATTAAACCCAGAAGCATCTTACCTTCTCGCCTTTGAAGCCGGGGACACCCTAAAGGCAGAAGAAAAAAAAAAGAAGATTATAATGAATTCCATCTTGACTACTAAAAGCTATAAGGGATAGGGGAAATGGAGGAGATATTGAGAAGATCTGCCTGTGTGGTGGGAAGAAGAAGAGGAAGGGGGCAGAAGGAGAAGAAAAAGGAGGGGGAGGAAGAAGAAAAAAAGAGGAGGAAGAGGAAGAGGAAGAAGAGGAGGAAGAAGAAAAAGAAAAAGAGGAGGAAGAGGGAGAAGAAGAGGAGGAGGAAGAAGAAGAAAAAGAAGAAGAGGAAGAAGAAGAAGAGGAGGAGGAGGAAGAAGAAAAGGAAGAGGACAAGAGGAAGAAGAGGAAGAAGAGGAGAAGGAGGAAGAAGAAGAGGAAGGGGAAGAAGGAGAAGAAAAAGGAGGAGGAGGAAGAGGAGGAAGAGGAAGAAGGGGAGGAAGAAGAGGAAGAGGAAAAAGGAGAAGGAGAAAGAGAAGAAGCAGCAGAAGAAAGAAGAGGAGGAAACAGAGGAAGAGGAATAAGAGGAAAGACAAGGACGAAGAAAGAAGAGGAGGAAGACAGCGTCGGTTCCTGTGGGGCCTGAATGTTGGTTTACAAAGGGCTGCACACCCTGTCACGGCCAGGTGAGATGATTGCTCCCATTTGACAAGAGGAGGATCATGAGGGTCTTAATGGGGAAGGGATCCTCTCAGAGTCATGGAGCCAGCAGAGACTCAGACCCAATCTCCTGAAAGGGATGCTGATGGGGGGAGGGGAGAAGTGCAAATTCGGCCAGGCTGAGGGACGCTCCTTCAAGGGCTCCCCAGCGACTCTCTTCTAGCTGCCTCTTGTTGGGTGTAGATGGTGGAGTCTCGGGACCTGATGGGGTGCGCACCCCTGTGCAAGGGGCCTCTTTCTCTCTGTCCCCCACTTCCCTCCCCCAACTTTCAGGATGGTCCCTTTCAGGTTTCTCCAGGCCCCTGCTGAGTCTATTTGATAATAACAACAGTTTTGCCCCCATTGTGCCGATGTAGAAACTGTTGCCCAGAGGGGTGGCACCCCTGAGGCCAGCAGATGGCAGAACCAATGGGGAAGGCCTGAACAGAGCTGGTCCTGCCCACTCAGTTAAAGAAGAAAATACCGAGGGCCAGAGTGGAGAAGTCAGTGGCCCAAGATCAGCAGCAGAGATGGTCCTATGCTCCCTAGTCTAAGGGTCCAAAAGCTTGACCCCTCAAGGCACAGTTACCTGAATTTTGGGGCAGCCGCTTGACGTTACCCTAGGTCTAGAGTTGAAGGGATTTCGGAGGCTATGTAGTTCAACAGCCTTTTTTTACTGAGGAGGACACTGAGGCCCAGAGAGTTCCAGAGACTTGCCCAAGGTCATATGGACAGTAAGGATTTGAACCCGAGTGCTCCAGCTGGAGCCAGGGCCAGCATTTGGTTGATGATACTGTTCCCCCCCCCCCCCCCCCAAGCTTTCATGCCTTGTCAGAGACATGCTGTGAGCCCAGAGCATCCTACCTTGGGTCCTGGGAAGCCAATGGGGCCCTCGATGCCTGGGTCTCCCTGCAGAGAAAAGACACAGCACTTAGTGGGGATGCCACACGTGGTCCCGATGGCCCTCAGTGAGTGGGAAGAGGAAGTCAAATACTCACCTGCCGTCCTTTCTGTCCAGGTTCGCCTGGCTCACCCATGTTCCCCTTAGCACCCTAAGGACAAGCACAGGAAAAGCAGTGAGGAGACAAGGATGACTGTGCCGAGGTTTGCTAAAGCCCGTTCCAGATGTCAGCCCCTTTGAGCCTCTCAGTAGCGTGTGAGGGAGTGGCTACATTTTCCAGATGATGAACCTTCAGCCCAAAGAAGGCACATCACTTGCCCAAGATCACACAGCTACTCAGCACTGAACTCGGGCCATCTGGACCAGGCACTTTCCCTGGGTGTCTCCCATGCCTGGGTGCTCCCCTTCTCCATCTCTGCCTCCTGCTTTCCCTGGTTCCCTTCAAGACCCAGGGAAAATCCCACCTTCCCCAGGAAGCTTTTCCCAATCCCTCTTAAGGCCAGTGTCTCACGTCTGTGGTTTGTCTTGTCTATGTTTTGTTTGTATGTGGCTGTGTGCATCTTGTCTCTCCATTAGACTGGGAGCTCCCTGAGGGCAGGGTCTTCCTTTGCCTTCCTTTGTATCCTCAGTTTCTAGGTCAGTGCCTGGCACAGAACTGGTGCTTGCGAAATGCTGGCTGGCCCGACTGGACTCCACATCTGCCTGGCTCTTTGTGCTTTATTCTGGCCTCTTGCTAGATCCCATATGGAATCCACCCCTTCTGACCCAGTGGTTCCCCCTGCCCCCAGCCTCTGGGTCCTGGCTCTCTGGGTCAGTCCACAGCAGCCCTCACTGCGACGTTCTAAAGATAGGCAGAGGGATCTCCTGAGAAAGGCTTCGGAGGCTCAGAAGAGGATCGCTAGAGGTCTGAACAGATGCAAAGACAGGCACTCTGAGTTCAGCCAGGCAGAGAGAGCCTCCATGTCAAAGCTGCGTGAACTCATCTCATTTTATCCAAACAACAGTTTGTGACCTTCACTTTAGACAGCAGCAAACCAACCATGGCTAATCATCTGTAAACATGTTGAGTTAAACATACTTTGCAGCCAAGGAAGCAGACTTTGTCACCTAATTCACTGTGTTTACAAAATAAGTGACAAATGCCACACAGCTCTGCAGTTTCTCCCTCTTTTCCCCTTCAGCTTTCTCTGTTATTCATTGCATGTTTATGTCATCCTTTTTCTTTTTAGGTATCATGGAATCACAAACTCAGACAATGCAGAGGCGAGTATAGTAACAGGTTAAATGTAGTGGTTCTCAAAGTTAAGAACAGAGAAGGTAAGATTTTAATCAGCCCTTTATGTTACCTCTCGGTAATCAGGAGTGGTATGGCCTAAAGGGAGCTCTTTGGCTTTCGTACAGACTAACAGAGGATGATAGATGGATGGATGGATGGAAAGAAAGGATGATGGATGGATGGAATGGAAAGATAGATGGGTGGAAAAGAAGGAAGGATGGATGGAAAGGAAGGATGGATGGATGGAAAGGAAGGACAGATGGATGGATGGAGGGATGGATGGATGGAAAGGAAGGACGATGGATGGATGGAGGGATGGATGGATGGAAAGGAAGGACGGATGGATGGATGGAGGGATGGATGGATGGAAAGGAAGGACGGATGGATGGATGGAGGGATGGAAGAGAGGCAGGTCCCAGAACAGGAGGGCTAGCTGAAGACACTGTCCCGATGCTTGGGATGACTGGGTTGTCATGGCTTACCTTCTGTCCTCGATAACCCTTGGGACCAGCAGGGCCTTGGATCTGCAGGCAGCTCACCTTGTAGCACTGAAAGGAACCAGAAGAGACATGCTGTCAGGATGGGTGGGATACTCCAGTGGGAGGAGGAACCCAAACACCCACCCACACCATTTCCACAACTTCTCTAGAAGGATACAGAGATATGGTCAAGTGACGTGGTCAGTGAGTGATCCTGGCTAAGCAACAGAGCCTGATTCTCTGATTGGGACCCGAGTCTGAATGGCTTATTAAGTTGGAAGGTGGTAGATGGTAGATTTGCCCAACTGACCTCTCCCCTCTCCAGTTCACCCTTTATTTAGTTCCCACAGAATTTGTAGTAGGAATGCGGCTGCTATAATGTGGAGGTCCTTGAAGTTTTTTTTTGTTGTTGTTGTTGCTGTTAAAGTGAACTTAAATTCAATTCCAGCCTTTGGATTAGAGAGAAGTCACATACCTAGGTGTTTCTATTTCTTTAAATCTTACTCCTAATTGCAAGCCTTATTTAATGATTTGTATTTATGTGGATCTGTTTTAATGTAGCATTCTATTGCATAAAAGTAAAATTATTATTGAACCAATTAGTCATTTTCTCTTCATTACCTTTCCTATGAGGACCCCAGCTGCTTGAGCCATGAGACCACTGATATCTTGGAAGAAGCATAACCTTTACTATAACACTCTTCAGAAGAAATGCCTTCTCAAGTGCTGGTCTTGAAAGCCAAGCCTGTGAGGCAGCAGTAAACGTCCCAGCCTCAAAGAGTCCACTTTGCCAGGCCAGGGCAGTGATGTCGTGTTCAGATTGGAAGGGATCTCTGATGGTGACTAGTCTAACTCTCCCATTTTACAGCTGAGCAAACCAAGGCTCAGAGACAAAACAATGGATCCGACTCGGACAAGTCTTAGCAGGGTGGCCATTCAGCTGACCCTAAAGAGTCCACTGTCCCCCAGCTCTGCGAGCAGCAGGCAGCCTTGGGGGGCCTGGCCTCTGAGGCTTACACAGGGCCTACAGACCAAACCCACTGACTCCTGGGAAGGGCCACCTCACTCTGCTGGGCCTGCCTTAGCCTCCTTCTTTCCTGGGCCCAACTGCTTGGAAGAGGTTAGCCTTGGAGCCCAGGGGCAGGGTCCACAATCCTGCTGCACCTGCAGGAGGTCAGCAAATGCACAGAATAGCAATGATGCAGAACCGAGTGGCCGTGGGGAGACTCTGGGTGGGAGCTCACACAGAAAGGCCTGGGCTGTGCCAGTCCCCCTTCCCCTCCCCCCATTACCACTGGACAAAATACTAGAAAACAATGCCAGCTTACCTCTGAATATGCTTCGTGTTTCTGCCAGGAAGGAAATAAGAAAGCAAAACTAGTTAGATCCATGATGGAAACATGGTCATGCTAAGCCTACTACTTTGGACAACAACCCCAAGCATTCTTCTCTGTGTGGGTGTGACTTGCTCTCTGGAGAAGCCATTCTGCTAAGTCTTGGTCCAGGGCTCCCATCTCTGAGCAGTGCATTAGACAGGGGACCCTGGTCTGAGCCCTCCAAGAAGAAGAGGAAGCAGGCACGCACCGACTAATTGCTCACTTGCATCGTCCAGTGGCACCATGAGGCACTTGGAACCCACTAAACCTAGGAAGCATCCCCTGTGGGAAAGGGGTCTGGCGCTCCTGCCCTGCCCTACCCCCACCCCTGCTTGCCCTCCTGAGGATGCTAGGAGCAGGGTCACCCAGCTTGGCACCAGCAGGGGGGCAGTAAAAGCCAGATCTCCAGAGCTGTGCACCCCTCCCAGACCCGTCTCCTTACCATGACCTTGATGATTCTGTCGATGGTCTCCTGGTCAATAGATGAGTCCTCTCTGATGGTGAGGTAGTTGTTCCGGTAGAGCTCATGGGGGAGGTTGGCGATCTCCCGAAGCCCATGATCGTTCTTGTTTTGGTTGAGGGCCACAGAGAAAAGCTTGATCCCCATGTCGCGGGCTCGCTCAGCCTGCATCTTGATGCCCCCGCACGGGCTTCCGGTCACGTGCCCATCAGTGATCACGATGGCAAAGTTGATGCCCTTGCTGGGATTTCTCGTGATCTCCTGGGTCATGTTGGAGATGGCGCAGTCTGTGAAGGTGCCTCGGCGGAAGGACCTGATTTTCTGAAGCCTGGATTTGAAGGTGGCTTCATCGCTGCCCAGGGGGCTGAAGACTTCCACCTCGTCCGAGAAGTGCAGGCCTCCATAATGCCAGCTGATGGCCACCTGGTCACGGTAGTGCTGATTCTTCAGCTGGCTGGTGAACTGCAGGAGGAATTGCTGTGTTTGGCTCAAGAGACTGTCAATGGGCGACTGCATGGTTACACTCTCCGAGGTGTCCAGGACGAAGTACACGTTGATGGGGCAGTCTGTTTTCTCTGTGTGGGAACACAGGGTTATGGCTGTCATCACCCTTGAAAACTCAGAGCCACCATTTCTTTGTCCCATCCCATAGGCCTTTACCTACGTGGCCAATCAAAGCATGAGTGGATTCAGCGGGGTACATTGTATGGAGCGTTGGCTTGGCCTCTGAGGACCCAGGCTTGAAGCTCAGCTCAGCCCTCACTGGGCAGGTCACTTAGCCCACCTGCCTGTGGGCCTCAGCTTCCCCATCTGTAAAACAGGGTCTAGGAGGCCTCTGGGGTCCCCTGAGAGGACCCAGGCCTGAAGCTCACCTTGGCCCTCACTGTACGGACACTTAGCCCACCTACCTGTGAGCCTCAGCTTCCCCATCTGTAAAACAGAGGCTAGGGGGCCTCTGGGGTCCCCTGTGAGGACCCAGACCTGAAGCTCAGCTCAGCCCTCACCAGGCAGGTCACTTAGCCCACCTATCTGCAGGCCTCAGCTTCCCCATCTGTAAAACAGGGGCTAGGGTTCTCTGGGTCCCTTCCAATCTTGATGGAGGGAGGAGCCTCTGAACAACCCTGTGAGGTGGCGGCCGCAGGTCTTATTTCCCTCGTTTTGAAGATGGGTCATTGAGGTTCAGCAAAGTTCAGGGATTTGCCCAGTGCCCCATAGCTGGTGTCAGCGGCCGGATGGGAGCCCAGGTCTTCCTGACCCCAGGACAAGCTCTCCATTCGCTGTTCCACACTCAGAAGGGCTCTGAGGAATGCCCTGCCTGACGGCATCTTTCTGTCTGTGAACACTGGCTGTAGTTCTTTCTGGAGGGCATGTCCTAGGATCAATTGGGGGAAACCCGAAGTAGGAGACAGATTAGGAGACTGTGGCAGGAGTCCGGGTGAGAGGGGATGAGGGCCGTGGTCACAGAGCTGACGGGACTGAAGAAGCAGTTGGGCCTCAGTCCTCCACGTGATGTTCGAGGAAACTGAGGCCCAGGGTCACAGAGATACTGAGTGACACACACATATCTAGAGGAACGTGCATGTGTATGTGCCATGCATTATGTGCATATATATCCATAGGTGTAGGTGTATTTCCCGCCTCATGGCCTAACCACAGACACATACGTACACACACATGAAGGGTTAATTGCCATCTCTATGCAGATGATTTTCAGATCTACACACCCAACTCTGACCTTTCTTCTCGGTATCCCTCACACTCAGCATAGTGACTGGCGCATAGGAGGTGCTTAATAAATGCTGGTTGACTGATACCTCAAAAATCGATCCATTGATAAACCCTGCAGGTGCTTGAAGACTGCACACCTCTACATTAGAGCTCCAATTCTTTCACATCTATTGGGAGCCGTCATACAGCCGGTGCTTCATAAGTGCTTATGACTGACTGCTTCACCTTTCTCTGGGCTTGCTCCAAGACTTCCGAACCGAGCATGACTTGACGCTCCGGGGCAGAGACCCATGGGACCCCTGGCACCGTCGCTCTCCGAAGGCCTCCGTGGTGTCACTAGCATCCTGGTCGGCACGGTTGCGCACCTTGCCATCTGCTCAAATCCCAGGATCTTCTCCAGGTGAACGGCTGCCCCGGGCGCCTCACCGTTTTGTGGAGCTGCTGCGCCAATGCCCCGTTTGTCCGCATTGAGCTTCATCTCCTCAGATCTGACCGAGGTTGTAGCTGGTCAATCTCTTCTTGGAGCCTGACCCCACCATTCCTCCTAAGCCAGGTCAGCTTCCCCACCAGCGGGATGTCCGCCTGCAAATCTGGGCAGCCTCCTGTCTGTCATCGTCAGAGAAGCTCAGGGTCTCAATAAAAGGATCTGGACTCCATCCAAGGGACACGCTTGAGGACCTAGAGGGCCCCATGTGGCCACGAGACCGGCGCAGGTTTTCCACCCCGGCTTTAAGTCACTGAGAAGCGCACAGATGACCCAGGACTAAGGACAGCTCCTTGAAGCACCTCCTGGAGGCGGCCCCGGGGCGTGCTGGTAAAATGTTTAACAACTGGCTCTCCAAAAAATAAAGAAAAGCACGTTTAACTTGAATCATCAACATTCTGTTGCTTTCCTAAGACTGGGCAGTTAACCAAATGACTCGAGGCCTGATTTGTAGCGTTTGCTGATCTCCAGGGTGTAAGTGCTTACACAGACTGTCGGGCAATGGGTGGGATTGTACAAGGGTAGAGCCACGGTGCCCAGAGCCCTGGGCCTGAAGGGGCAGCTAGGGGACTGCAGAGCACTGGGCCCGCAGTCAGGAAGACTCGTCCTATATTTAAATCCAGACTTAGACAATTATTAGCTGTGTGACCCTGGACAAGTCACTTCACCCTACTTGCCTCAGTTTCCTCATCTGTCAACTACACTGGGGAAGGAAATGGCAAACCACTCCGGTATCTCTGCCAAGAAAACCCCAAACGGGGGCACAAAGAGTTGTCCATGTCATCATTAATGACAGCTTTGAGTGTGGCCACTTGCCTGGTTCTGAGGCTCTGTCTGGATAACCACCATGTACGCTTGCGTACGTGTACAGTGCTTCTGTCTTCCTAGCAGCTAGGTGGTGCAGTGGGAATGAAGCCCTGGGCCCAGAATCAGGAAGACCTGACTAGCCATGCGACCTTGGGCAGGTCACTTAATATCTGTTTGCCTCAGTTTCCCTATCTATAAAACAGGGATAACAATAGCCCCTTTCTCCCAGGGTTGTAAAGCTCAAATGAGGTCATAGTTGTAAAGTGCAGAGTCTGGCACACAGTAGGTGCTCTCTAAATGCTAGCTGTTGTTATCATCTTCCTCCAGAGTGATTTACAGGTTCATTTGTGGCCCCGAGCCAGTGCTGCCCTTGGCTGCCATGGACCCCGCCCGGCAAGGACGCCGAATGCTTACTAGCTGGGTTGGATTCTGGGTCCTTTCCACCTTCCAAGTATCTTCTTAAAGAAGGTGCTTATGCCGCAGAGTCCTTGGATGCCTGCTTGGGTTTTCTCGATGCCCCGTGAAGGGCAGGATCTAGAAGGTCCTGCCAAGGCAGAAATGCTTTGCATCAGGTCCCAGGATGGGCTACATCTATGGTCTGAAGTTGGTCTCGCTAAATGCAGAGAAGCTCTTCGCATGAACAGGAGATGAAATAGATAAAAGACCCAGTGACCTCAGGCCCGGTTAGCGTCCTTGGGGTGTTGTAGTTACCATGACAGACTGACAGAAGATCAGGGGCCGCCAACCATGGCATGGCCCTGGGCCTCCCTGTGAGCCTCCATCAACTCACATGTTGTTCCGATGAATGTGTGACCTTTGTCTGGTGGCCGATGATTTAGAAACATGGCTGGGGCACCTAAGCTACGCACATGTTGACACTCTTGCTATAAATGAAGCCTGAAGATATTAGGGTTGGATGAAAGGAAGCTCCCTGGAAGAGGCCTCCTCCTGGAGGTCACCAAAGAACCCGGCTGAGTTAGTCTCATTAAGCCCAAAAGGCAACAAGACACATCTTGTCACGGGAAGTCTGGCCACCTGCCCTTGTGGGTCTCAGGATGAGAATAAACAAATGGGTCACTATGGAGATAGCTGGTACCACCTTACAAAGTATGGAGATGTGCAGACATCACACCTTGATAGGGATCCCTGGCGCTGGAGGTCTTTGAGCAAAGGTAGCACGGCCAATTGTTGGGTGTGGCAGAGTGGAGCTCCTTGGCCAAGTTGGACTGAGCTACATGTCCTCTGACACCCCTTCTATCTCTGGTATTCAAACCAAGCCACTGTATCCCTTAATACTCGGTGACTTCCATGAAGGCAGTACAAAGGAAGCCAGCAAAAGCAATGATGGAATACATGGTTGTGGGCTGCTCAGATCTAGTTTTGTGATCATTACAGATTGCTGTTTGCTTCAGAGGGAATTGGCTTTCCGATGCCTGACTGATGGTGCATTCTCTCTTTGGTTGCGGGTTTCAGGATCTTGGAGTGCCTGGGCTTGGCCTTTGATGTGTTTGCTATAAAGTCAAATGCTTTCATTGACATCCTTGGCCAAAGGCACCAGGCACTTCATGGTCCTTCTCTCATGGGACACCATGCCGCCACAGAAAGAGCCCTGACCTTAAATGCCCAGGACCGCCCTGGAATCCTTGCTGTTCTACTTACTGCCCATGTGACCTCGGCTTAGCCACTGCAGCCCAGAAGAGCTTCATTTTCTTCATGTGAGAAATTAAGGGTTTGGGCTGGAACACATCTAAGGCTTCTTCTGGCTCTAGATCAAAAATCCTCAGATTCCTGATATTCCAGAATCTACATTCATGACAATGACAATATCAATGGCAGGAAGAAGGAGAAGGAGGAGGAGGAGGAGGAGGAGGAAGAGGAGGAAGAGGAGGAGGAGGACCTGCAGTGGGAGGAAGATTAGGACCTGGAGGAGGAGGAGGAGCTGGAGGAGGAACTGGAGGATATGATACTGAAGGAGAGAGAGTAGGAGAAGAGAGGAGCGAGAGTCAGAAAACAACCTCACCCAGCACTGTGGAGGCATCATCCCTTGTTTCCCTGGTCCTGCCCACTGGAGGATTGCCAGGCAGAACTAGCTAGTGCTCCTACAACTGCTAGAAAGGGCCTTGGGCTTAGCACCAGAAAACGTGGATTTGAATTCTGGCTTTGCCACTCACTAGCTGTAGGACCTTGGGCAAGTCACCTCATGTTTCCTCGTCTTTAAGATGAGGGCTTGTCACAAGGCCCTAAGGTCCTTTCCAGCTTGGTTGCTTCTTGTGACTTCGGTTAGGGGTGGGGAGAGTGGGCAGGAGACCAGAGGGGACGGTGGCCAGCCAGAAAGGGTCTGGGGTCAGGGGCGCTTGTTGCGGTGAGTACCTGGGCAGTTGCTGGCTCTGTCCGTGGTGCTGCCTTCAAAGAACGCTGTTTGTGGTTGAGCATGAAGGGGGCCCAGGAGGCCCCAGACCAGGAGCGTGGGGAACAGCTTTCGGAACATCACTGAGGCTCCAGTTCAAGGGGATTTTCCTCCTGAGAAAAAAGAAAAAGAAAGAAAGGTCAGGGCAGCCATGATTTCCATTCATTCCTGAGAGGATTGATCTGGGCCCTTTATGGGTGCTTGGTTCACTTCTCTTCTCAGAGTCCCATCGCAGTCACTCTGATCATGGGGATCTTCCACCTGGGAGTAGCCAGGCAGATGGGGAGGAAGTCCATCAGCGGAGCTGATCAGGTTGGCAAAGGTCAGGGAAGGAGGGAGAGGGGGAGGGGAAGAAGGTGGGGGAGGGGAGGGAGGTGGAGCAAGGGGGAGGGAGGTGGAGCAGGGGGGAGGGGGAAATGTCCTCACAGCTGCACAGAAGGGGCTCCAGGAGCCGCCAAGTGTCCTGACCCACATTGCCCCAGGCCTGCCAGGGGCAGCTCAGTCTGGCCTTACAGTTCAGGGGCTGGAGAAGTGAGGACAGGAGACTCCCCAAATGCATAACTTCTGTCTCTGTAACTTTGCTCAGGCAAAGGGATGCTTGAACACCTTTGCCATCCCCCAGGATCTCATTTAAAGTCCTCTCAAGGCCAAAGGTGGACACACTCTTCCTATTGTGGACATGCAGATCCCTGTCAGCCTCACTCAGTCCCACCTCTGCATCTTCGCTTATGGATATCCTTGTGTCAGAATCTAAAGGCTTCCCCACACTTCAAGGCCTATTTAGAGGAAGTGACTTGCCCAGGTCACACAGCTAGGAAATGGGAAGGGCAAGATTTGAACCCACAGACTTCCTTCAGGTTGTCTTCATTGGGTGGCAGCCTGGGGGACTCAGGAAACCTGGCTTCAAACCATGGCTCTGTCCTCCACCAGCTGCCTGACATTGTGCAGATCACTTCCCATCTCAAGCCTCAGTTTCCACATTTGTAAAGTGGGAGTCATGCATGGAAAGCGGGAAGGGACCTTAAAGGCCGTCTTTTCTCACCACTTCCCTGGTCACTTCTGGTCCTTGAGGACAGAGCTGGTGTCTGAATTAGACATTCTACTCTCTGTCAGCCAGCACACAGTAGGTGAAGGATTCTAAGCCACTGAAAGGGCCCTCTCCAAAGGTGCCAGTAATCTCTTAAATGCCACCTGGGACGGTCCTTTCTCAGCCCTTGGCTGTGGACTCTCGGAAGCCTTGGACACGACCCTGGTGGATGGGGGACTCCCTGTCCTCTCGGATCCTCTCTTCTCCTTGAGTTTTCCTGCCCTTGCTCTTTCATCTGGTCAGGCCTTCTCAGCCTCCTTTGCTCCCACACCCCTCCTTGTCCTCCACAGCAGAGGGTTAAACTTAAACAGAACCAGGCCCATGAAATCATAGATGAGGATCCCTGGGGGCTGCATGTTTACTCAGAACACCACATGTGAATATTACCTGTGTTTTATTGTATTTTTGTTTATTTTGTTAAATACTTCCCACTTATGTCTTGATCTGGTTCAGGCTAAGCTTGGGAGTGCTACAGGGGCACCTCTGATCTACACGCACCTGCCTCCTAAATGTGGGTGCTCCATACGTTTCTGCTGTGGGCCCTCTCCTTTTCTCCCTCTGTCATCTCTCTGGCTCTCTGTCTCTGTCTCTCTGTCTCTGTTTCCCTGTCTTTGTCTCAGGCTCTCCATCTGTCTGTGACCTCACCCATTCCCATGGGTTTAGCTCTCATCTTTGTGCAGATCCTCCTAGGTGTGTAAATCAAACCTATCCCCTGCCCAGGGCGTAGGTCCTGTGTCACCAGTGGCCCATTAGACATTCCAAACTGGCTGACTCTTAGCTCCCTTGAATGCAGGAGACTGCAAGCCTCTTTTCCTCAAGGCCCTCCCCTCTCCCCAACGCCCCCATTTCCACAGCAGGCCCCTGCAGCACATTAATCTCAGCAATTTCCCAGACTCTTCCGCTGTCCCCCTCACCCTGGCTGCTGCTTCTACCTGCAGGACGTAGCTCCCCGCTGAGCCCTTTTCTCCACTCACCCTCCCACCACCCTCCACCTTCAAAGGTCCTTCTCCTCCTCCCCCTATTATTGCCCTCACCTCCTCACAGCCCTCCCTGCCTCCAGGCTGTCCTTACCCACTTCCATCCTACCTGCCGCTTCTATCCCTGTGACCCTTCTCAGGCACAGATCTGACCATGGGAGTCCAGTCTGTACTAGTGGCTTTCTGTTGCCTCTAGAGTCAAATATAAATTCTTTTTAAGTTTCAAAGCCCTTCCCGAGCTGGCCCCCATCAATCTCTCTCTCTTTTTTTTTAGGCAATTGGGGTTAAGTGACTTGTCCAGGGCCACATAGCTAGTAAGTATCAAGTGTTTCATCTGAGGCTGGATTTGAACTCAGGTCCTCCTGACTTCAGGGCCCCCATCAATCTCTCTGGCCTCCCTGGCCATCACTCCTCCTGTCCCCCATTATCCAACCAGTGCTCATGGCTTCTCTCCACTCCTCACACATTACACTGTTTCCAGTTTCACGCCTTGGCATTGGCCATCCCCCTTGTCAGGAGTGCACTCCCCCCTCGCTTTGGCCTCACAGAACCCTCTTTTCCTTTAAGGCACAGCTCAGGCTCTGTCTTCTGTAGGAAGCCCTTCCCTGTCTCCTCCATTGCTGGGCATTGCCTCCCCACCACCCCTCCCCCAACAACCTTAGATTCAATGACTCTATGTATTCACTCAGCTTATATTTATGCTGTATACATTTTCATATAGTCTTGTCTCTCCCATAAGAAAGTGAACTCCTCATGAGAAGGGATCGTTTCATTCTTTGTGCTTGTATCCCCAGTGCCCAGCACAGTGCCTGGTACATAACAGGTGTCTAATCAATACTTTTCGATTGACCAAGCCTGAACCTTTGTTGGTTTACCATGTGTGACCCTTCTTCCTGGCCTCAAGGAGCTCCCAGTCTCATAGGAGACTGAGATGTCAGCACAGACAGCTCCCCAGCATCTGAGTCATTGTGATGTGCATTGCAGATATGGTGCAGAGAAGGCAGCTCTGTTTGAGGTAGGCTTAGAGATAGTGTAGCCTGGACAGAGAGCTAGCCCTGGACTCTGGAAGCTCCCAGGCAAGTCCTCAGCCTATGGCTGCATAGCTGGTGCTAATCTTCATTGGCAGAGGAACTCTATTTATCTGGGAGTTCCTTACACCAATGGAATATCAGTCCCTGTCCTTATTCTTTTAAGGAATGGGGCACCCTCAATAGGCCCTGCAAAGAGAAGGAGGGAAGATATTTTAGGCACAAGGCATGGAGGCAGGAGACTTCAGGGCATGTTGGCAGAAAAGCGGGGACAAAGCATGCAGGTTGTCTGGACAGTGTTTCTGACAGCTGAGAAGGATAGCGTGGCTTCAGGTGGTAGAGGACCTTCAAAGCCAAGCAGAGGAAGTTGGAGTGAACTGCATGAGTGCTAGGGAGTCACTGTGGAGGCTGGCTAGGAGTGAGAGGTCAGAGCTGTGCGTAAGAAGAATTATCCTGCACATGCTTGGTGATGGTGCCGGAACTGCATGGAGTGAGCTAAATTGCGTTTAGTTTTGTTTTGTGGGACCATCCATTCCAATCAGTCACTTCGTTTCAGATTATAATCAGTTGTAGTCATAACTAGTCAGAGAATATGAGACTTGGTCCCATATATTTGAGATTTGGGTGGGGACTGTGGGTTCCTTCACCAATATGTGTCCCCATGGGAACTGCAGGATAAGGTGAAGAGGAAGGGAGAGCCCAGCAACTGGTAAAGGAGGTGGTCAGAGGAGGTCAGCCCCAAAGCAACAGAAAAAGAATGTCCTCAATTTTCTTGTTGGTTAGCTGAGAGAGAAAGACAGTTGGGAGGAGGAAAAAAAAAAGGTCATTCTGGTAGTAGTATGAAGGGGGAATGGGAGGAGATGGGAAGGCAGAGGAAGCTGTTATAAGAAGCCAGGTGGGTGGAGAGGAGTTGGGCAGCTGGGAGGTGCAGCAGAGACAGAGAGGAGGGGGCGGATCTGGGAGATGTTTCAGAAATGGAATCCCAAGTAGCTGATTACTGATTGGCTAAAGAAGGTGAGGGAGGGAGATGGGGCAAAAATTACAAATGGAAGAGTTGGGGGTGAAGGGTAGAGCTCCAGACAGATGATGGGAGGGCAGAATGGGGGGGGGGATAATGATGGGGCATATGTATGATGTACCTTGGGTGGCAGCTGGAGCTCAGAATAGAAGATGGCTGGACCAAAGACTTGGGAGTCCCCAGCACAGAGGTGGTAGGTGAAGCCGCAGGTGTGAAGGAGAAAGCCAAGAGAGAGAATCCCAGAGCACCGTGTGCTGCTTCCTCCCCATTCCTACAGCTACCAGCTAGCTCAGGCCCCTCCTCCTGTCAGGCCTGGCTCCCTGCATTGGCCTCCAGGGTGGTTTCTCTGCCTCTTCCCCCTCTCCCTTCCAACCCAGCCTGTCTCCTGTCCAGGCTTTCTTCCATCCTGGCACTCCCTCTGGTGGTTGGGTTTGTTCATTGGCTGCTTGGTGGTAGCTAGCTCCCCAGCTTTGTCCTGGGGCTCCATTTTTATCTGACCTTTTCCAATTTATACTCTCTGCTCTGCTTGGCCTCAGAAGAAATGCACCAGGTTTCAGCTCCGTACGAGGGGATGGGAGGTACTGGGAAGGGCCGTGGACTGGAGGTCAGGACACCTTTGTCCCAGTTCCTTATCAGCCCCTTAGCTTCTCACATCCTGAGACACCTCTGTCTCCGACCCTGGCACGTGTATTATCTCTGGACTTGACGAGGTGGTGCCAGATGTTCTGTAACGGCTTTTCCATCTCTGATGTTATAAGAATCTAAAAGCTTCCTAACTCAGATCTGTCCAGGAGTGGGACGGGCTGCTTCACAACGCAGTGAGCTTCTCAGCACTGGAAGTCTTAAGTAGCGTCTGGATGACAGAGTTGATGAGAAGAAATTGTGGATATGGTAGGGGCATTTTCTTTTTCTTTGTTCAGGTAGGGGTAGACTAGAAGAAAACCAAGAAACTCCAATCCAACTCGATCCAATTCACATTCTTAAGCTATCTACCATGGGCCGGCCACCGTGAGATACGCACAAAGATAAAGTCTCCGCCTTCCGGAGCAGTGTTCTCCTTAGGGGGTGGGAATACAGCCGTACAAAGTAAATGCAAATAGTCTGGAGAGTGGAAGAAGGTGGGTACCACCCTCTAGGGGGATCAGGAAAGGCCTTCTGGGAGGGAAGCCTTGAAGGGAACCCCCAACTCTCTGCATCTTCCCTTCAGCCCCAGCCTGGAAGGCGGCACGAAGGGTGTCTACTCCGGAAAGACCCCCTCCTCCCTTCTCCTACCCACTTAAGGCAGGCTTGTTGATTGGCTAATTGATGGACAGCCAGGGTGGAAGGGTTGGATGGCTTTCCCAAAGCCCCTCCCAGGCGCAATGTCCTGATTGGTCCCTTCCCCGTGGGTATCCTTCCTCACAGCATTCAGCTAGCGATTGTCCAGGTGAGACATTCAAACCTTGAGGCCTCACCAGCAAGGTGACCGAGTTTCTGCCTTTCTCATCCTCGGCTCCACCGCCCGCCCCAACCCCCCCCCCCCGGCAGGTGGGAAGGCGATTCAGGCATGTGGAAGCATTGGCCAAGTTCTGGCCGCCGCCCCCAGCTAAAGAGCACAGGGATGCCCCCAGCCCCGCTACAGGGGAGCAGCTCAACCCCAGAGGCCAGACTGGCCCCAGGTTGACACAGCATTACTGATGCTTGCGCTCAGAGCCTCTTCCAGGAGCGCTCCCAAGCTGAGAGACTGCTCACGAGAGCAGGATGAGCTTCATATGAATGTGTGCACACACGTATGCATGCGCGTGCTCGTGTGTACTTTATTCATTATCAGCCACCTCCCATCTAAGTTGTGAAGAACTCTCTCCGAGTCTGCACAGCCTCATGTCTGGACCTGATCCTTTCTCCTTCCCCAAATTAAATGTCGGAGGACTCTCCTGCCTCAGTGTCCCAAGTTGAATTCTTCCACTGCTCTTAGCCAAGGTCTCCTGTGTCCTCTCTCTTTTCCAGAGTTGGGACATTCAGCCCATCCCACTTTGATGGGGTAGCCTGGCTCTCCCCAAGTCCCCATCACTCATGCTGCTGAGAGCCTTTGGGCTGGGATACCAGATCAGCCTGGGAGCAGGGAGCTCCTCCCCATCCCTTGGGCCCCAGTTCCCAGTGGAAGCACTTTTAGCAAAGCCCATGAGCACTTTTCAAAGTGGGTAAAGCCTAGACTTTAAGCATATTTGCATTTCACTGAAGTCAGCAAAGTTGCTGGAATTCTTGGAGAGAGACCTGTGGGTTCCATCTGTGTGGATGACACTTTGATCCCCAGGCCCACCAAGCAGGTACCAAGTTCTTTAGAAGGCCCATCGAGAGGGTCTGAGGGTCAAACAGATCAGACACTGAACTGCTCATTATACACGCACACACACACACACACACGCACACACACGCACACACACACACGCACACACACACACGCACACACGCACACACATGCACGCACACACACACGCACACACACACGCACACACATGCACACACACGCGCGCACACACACATGCACACACACGCACACACACACGCACACACACGCACACACACACACACAAACTTGCAACACATACAAACACATGCCCTCACTGTATATATACACACTCTACCACACAATCTCACACTCTCATCCACACTCACATACCCTCACACATAGTCTCTCACACACATGCACACTCACACTTTCATAGTAGTCTTACATGCTCATATACATACTCACACACTCACACAATAGACTCCTACTGTTACACAACACACACATTCTCACATACACGCACAATTCTCTCACACACTCACATAATATACTTATACTGTCACACAACACATTCACCCATACACACGAACACACTCATACACTTACAATTCTTTCACACACTCATACCCATACTTACTCAATCACTCATACTGTCACACATGTTCGTACATATGCACTCTCTCTCTCTCTCTCTCTCTCTCTCTCTCTCTCTCTCTCTTTCTCTCTCTCTCTTTCTCTCTCTGTCTCTCCCTCTCTCTCTCTCTCTCTCTCTGTCTCTCTCTCTCTCTCTCACACACACACACACACACGCACAGGAGCATGCACACTCGGTAGGTTTCTAGGGCTAGAGAGGTAAAACTGGAAAGAACCTCTGAGCCCACCTGCCTGACCCGGAAAAGAGTAATACTTGCAAGGTCGTGGAGCAGTGACCTTTGACCAGGACCTTTGACTCAGGTCCAGCGCTCTCTCCTCTGCCTCTAAATGGAGGCTCTGAGACACTTAGAGAGTGACTTCCTCTGGGTCACAGTTAATGAGAGTACATCAGGGACCACATTCATCCCGAGGTTTTTCTGACTCAATGTCCAGCACTCTGTCCACTGCTAAGCTCACACTTGTATGTGCATGTACCCCTTCTGTCTTGGCAAAGAAAGAGCACAACTGAGTGTTGGCTTTGGAGTCCAAGAACCTGAGTTCAAATCCTGCCTAAGCCACTTACTAGTTGTGTCACCCTTTGAAGTCAGCTCTTCCCTCTAGGCCTCAGTCTCCTCCTCCCTAGAATGGGTTGGACAAGGTGGTCTTTCAGCTTTAACTGGGGCCCTGAGGTACAGCACATAGTAGGTGCTTAGTGAATTTTGGCTGAGTGGTGGATTGCTCAGCACATCCAGTTCAGTCCCTGGCTTTCCTCACTCCCCCTCGCTCTTTTTTGGTGCCTGAGATGAGTGACATCCTCCCCCCCCCCATCCTGGAGCCTCAGAGCTCCATGCAAGCTCCCAGGTGTCTCCCTGAGTTCAAATATCCTGAGAACAGGAGAAAAAGGACAAAAAACCAGGGAGAAGGAGGAAGGGGGCTCACATCCCACTTCCTGGGTCCCTTAGGCACTCTCTGCTGAGATATGAAAGCTACCTGGGGCTTCACACAGTCCTGAGAACAGTATCCTGGGCAGCCTCAAGAGCAGTGAAAAGGCCATAATGAATGTGGAATCAGAGGAACTAGGTTCAAACCTTGGCTCAGCTCAGCCATCTACTGTCTGGACTACCCTGGGCCCTAAGGCACCTTCTCTCTGGGCCTCATCTTCCTCTTCTGGTCTGGAGTCCCCAGCTCTGTCCTACCTTGAAATCTAGCATCCTGCCTCCGTTATGCAGAAGCACCATTGACCAGGCAGACAAATCTCTGTGGGCAGCAATGCCTCCTCCCAACAATTCGAGGAGAAGAAGCCCTTCTCCCTTCCCCCTCCTCCTCCAGCTGACTGGCCCTCCCCCTAGAAGGAAGCCAGAAATGTGAGACCCTCACTGATGGCCTCTGATCATCACAATCACATTTTGATTGTGCTTTGAAGTTTGTAAAAACACTTTCCCCGTGTTACCTCATTTGAACTTTACAACAATCATTTGAAGTAGGCATGACAGACATTCCTGAACCCATTTTACAGATGAAGAAACTGAGGTTAAGTAACTTGCCCATCTAGTGTCAGAGGCACCCCTCAGCCTCAGATCTTCCCGATTCTAAGTGAGGCTGAGTTATCCACGCTAGGAATTCCCATGCTCCAGTTTTGTCAGGAAAGCATCAACTCCAGGGAAAAGGCCACTGACTGGATTTTATTTCAGTTATTAAAAAAAAAATAGCTCACCAATTGATGACTTCTCCAACCAGCAAGTAATCACTCAGCGCCTAGCCCTGTGCCCAGCCCCCAAAGGCTCAGAGTTTGTCACCACCACTGGCCACAGCCGGGAGAGGGTCCCCACCCAGGACACCATCACCCAGAGGGCCTCCTGCGGGTCTGAAATAGAGTGTTAAACTGCGGGGCAGAGACCAGCAGAGGAGAGGACAGGGCTTAATGAGGAGCTAATTGCCTGGAGGGGGCAATTGGACGTCAGTTTGCTCCTTTCTAAAATGAGACGACTGGACTGAATGCCCTCTGAGGCGTCCGGGATGCCATGGGCAGAGAGAGGGCGGGAGGGGTTCCTCACTGTCCCTGCTGCTGCGGCTGGGGAGTGAGTCTGGGTGGCAGCGGAAGCCCCTCAGGCTCTGCCCTGCTCTAGGCAGCCTGGATCGCCCCCGCAGGCAGCAGAAACGTCTCCACAGGCGGGCCAGGGAGCTGCGCTCAGCCCAGCCTCGGGAGGGCTGCCTTCCCTCCCCTTTCCCTGTTCTTCTCTCTTCCCTTCCTATCCCCAAAAGTTTTCTCTCCGCAGCCCCGGCTTGTTGCTTTGCGAACTCTGGGGCAGCCCCGGGAGCATGAAACTGATCCAAGGGGCGCGCGGGGGGTCGGGTGGGGGCTTGCTGAAATTGATCCAGGGAGCCGGGCTGGCAGGAGAGCTGGAGGCTGGCCGAGCCTTTCGGGTCAATATTTGCCTCCCGGAGCAGCCCAGGGCATGTGTTAGAGCCACAAACGTTCTCCAAGTCAGCCCTCCCTCTCTCCTCTACCCCCTCTACTCCATCACCCTCTTTTAAAAAAGAAAATGGCTCCTTGTTCCGCTTCTGGGGCTCAGCCTGGAGAAACCCCCGCCGAAAGTTGTTTGTGTAGGGCTCGGGGCCGCGTACCTGAGAAGCTGGTCATCAAAGGGACCTGGGGCGGGGGACACCCAGGCAGGCAGGGAAGAAGAAAGTTTCTGGAGCTTTGGGACTCTCAGCAGGGCCTGAGCATCTTCTCCAGAAAAAGTTGGGATCCGTTTCCTCCGAGTTCTCGCAATCCAAATGGACTTTTTTAAGAGGAGAGAAAATCTGTTGGGAGTGGCCGAAGCTTCTGCCTTGCCCAGCGAGAGCTAGCCTTGGCTGTCTGGCCCCCAAGTAAGTCCCTGCCTACTTTATAATTCTCCTCCTCTTCTTCCCCCTGGGTGTCACCACTTTAGGTCTGGGGCGTTCTTGGTTCACAAGGGCCGCTGGGTGTCACTGTAGATCCACCGATGCTGCTGGGCGGCCCTGGGGCAGGGGGCCAGGCTGCCCCCCTCCCCCTGCTCCTGGGGCGGGGGAGGGGTGCATTGCCTTCTCCAGAAGGGAGGCTAGGGGAGGGTGGGGTTCAGCTGGAAAATCTCGGTTAGATCTTCTAAAGCAATTTTTCAAAAAAAGCAGAGGAAAGACAGACTTTTTTTTTTCCCTTCAAAGGGGCCCCTTCTCACACACTGAAATGCCTTTGTCCCGGACCCTGCCTCAACTGTTAACTCTGTGCTTCCTGTTTTTCTCCCTTTTTCTTTTTGTTGTCTCCATTCTTCCTCAGGAGCCTGGACAAGCTGGCCATCCACAGATCTCAGCTCCCTGTAGATGCCTGGGCTGCTGCCACCCATGGCCTGCCTCCTTTCTCCTGGGCCAGTGACCCAATGTGAAAGATTTCCTGCAGAATCTCTCTTGCTTGTCTCTGTCTGTCTGTCTGTCTCTGTTCCCTCCCCTCCTTCTGTCTCTCAGCTTTCACTTCCTCCATAATCCAGCAGAAAACAGAGGTCTTTTTGGATTTCATTTGAAAGCCCAGTGGGCAGTGAGGCCCTTTGAGAAATCTTGGCTGGCTAGAACTTGGGCTGGGCATGGAAGGTGTTGTATGATAATAGCCTCCCCTCTTGTGGCCCCTTACAAGACCTGGGGCTCACAGCAACTCAGTGAGGTATGTGGTGGCCTTAATGTTCCTGAGGAGAAATCTGAGGCTCAGAGACAGCCAGTGACTTGTTCAGGGTCAGAGCTGGAATGGGAGCCTTCACCAAACTGACTCTCTTTGCCACGGCCGCTTTTGCTCCTATCCCAGGAGTGGTTCATGAGCCCAGCTCACTGGATGGCACTCTTTGAGGCCCAATCCAAGACTGGCCCAGTGCTTCTTTTTAGAAACCTCTTCCCCCCAAGTCTCCGTTGGCTGCCGGCTGGGAAGCCTGCCTCTCTTTCCTGGAATAGTGAAGCCCAGCCTTGCAACTGTTCCCCAGTTCCATAGCTTTGGTTCCTGGGGAGATGAGTAGTTTGCTTAGGTCGCTGGAGTTTTGGAATATCCCCAACAGCTCGAATATGGCTGAAAAGGGTGTGACAATTCAGTACCTTTCCCAGGGCCAGAACTAGGGGTAGGCAAGGGGAACCCTTGTCTAGGGCACAGTAAGCAGTGGGTGGCGTAATGAAAAGTAAGGCTTTTTATAAATGTCTCCTCTGAAATTCTCCTTCAACAACCTCCTCCCATTCTGAAGATGACCCTGGGTTCTTGAAGCCTCTGCCAATGTAGTGTGAAGTCTTGAGCTGGGAAGGTTCTACTGAGCTGGGAAGGCTTTGAATTTGGGCCCCATAGCCCATCCAATGACTCTGCTGAGCCCTGCTTGGAAAGGTTCTTTACCTAAGGATTGGCCACACACACAGAGGCTCCAAGGGGGTGTTGATCTGCATCACTGAAATCAAGAAGCCATACAGCTGGTTGTGCATACTTTACTCATTCAAGGGTGTGTGTGTGTGTGTGTGTGTGTGTGTGTGTGTGTGTGTGTGTGTGTGTGAGCACACACGTGTGTGTATGTGTGCATGCATGGCCCAGTGGAAGGAAGACCAGCTCTGGCATCAGAGGAATAGAGGCAGGGTAGTGTAGTGGAGAGAGCGCCGGGCTAGGTAGCAAGACCTGGGTTCTAATCCCACCTCAGACACTTGTGAGCTGTGTGACCTTGGGCAAGTCACTTAACCCTATTTGGGCCCCAGGTGCCTCTATTGTAAAATGAGGGGGTTGGAGTAGCTGGCCTCTGGGGTCTCTACCAGTTCTAAAACTGTAGTCCTGTGATTTCAGTAATGTGGCTGGTCATGCCTTGGACTAGAGGTATAATTATCTCCATTCTACAGATGAGAAAATTGAGGCTTAGAGAGGTTGATTGATTTGCCCCTCATCATACAGCATATAAGATAAAATGAGATAATACCTGTACAGCATTTTACAGAGCCTAAAGTGCTATGCTGCTATTATTATTATTATTATTATTATTATTAGTAGTAGTAGTAGTAGTATAGTAGTAGTAGTAGTAGCTGTTGTCAGAAGCAAGATTTGAACCTAGATTTTTCCTGACTCTAAGTTCAGAGAGAAGGCAAGTACATCAGTTTCCCTTTAGTTGATGGTCTTGGAGGGCTGTGGTGACTGGAAATCCAAGTATCTGGTGGCCCGCTTAGCAGTGAATCTCTCCAAAATTAGCCAGGTCCCTTCTTGTATAGGAGATACCCTGTCTATGGTGTGGCCAAAGTTCTGGGTTTTTTTGTAGATAGTATTTTATTTTTTCCAATTACATGTAAAGATAGTTTTCAACATTCATTTTTAATAAGATTTTGAGTTCCAAATTCTTCCTTCCTCCCTCCCCAAGATGTCAAGCAATCTGGTGTAGGTTTATACGTGTGCAATCATGTAAACATATTCCCACATTAGTCATGTTGTGAAAGAAGAAACAGGACAAAATGGAAATCATCAAAGTTTTTTGAACTTTTCAGGATTGTCCAGAGCTTGGGCTCCAGTGGCCTAGCTTTGGAGAACCCAAGGTCATCTTCATACTGTGCATGACATGTTGGAGAAAGGCTTCATTGGGGGTGCATTTGACAAGTGTACATATTTTTAATATTGGGAAACGACATTCTCTTTGGAGAACGTCTTGTGATGTCTAATTGCATGCATTTTGTGAGACCTCTTCTCAACAGCCACAGGTGTGTAGCCCACACAAATGCCATGCTTAAGTTCCGAGCTCTCCTCACCCTGAACCTGTGTCTGTTCATGGTGATACTCTCTGCTCAAGGCGTTGAGGTAATCCTCATCTCCACAGCAGTCCCCATTGTGTCCCTTGGACACTGTGAGCTCGAGGCTAGAAATGAAGCCTCGAAGAGCATGGTTAGAGCCCTCTGGATGAAAATGGTGACTACATGGGCTCCAAAGCTCATGATCAGCTTCATCTGGATGCAGAGACAGCAGGGCATTGCTGGACTTCTGTGCCAGCCAGCTATCGGAGGGATAGACTGTCCCTTTGTCCTTCACCTGGGCCAAAAGCCTTGTAAAATGACATGGCACCATTGGTAGTCATTGGCTCCCCAGTGACAAATGGGCTGCCCAACTTTGGTTGGGTTGGGGTTCAGGGTGGGGAGGTGTGACCTCAGTACCACCAGATTACAGACTTTCCCAGCAGCCACTGAGTCCCGCCAATAGCTTGAAGGACCCCATTCTAACCTATGCAACAAGCAGCCCCATGGCCTTAGCTCACAGAGCCCATCACCTCCCCACGCAGCCCGATCCACTCTGGGATGGCCCACACTCTTGGTTCTTCCTTCCCTCAAGCCTAAATGGACCTCTCTGCAACTTCTCCCTTTGGCTCCTGTTTCTTCTGATGGCCAGGCCAAGCAGAACAGGGCAAATCCAAGCACTGGGCATTTCTTGGAAGATCCTTGCTCCTTTCAGGGGGTGTGGGTGCCGTGCTGAGGCAGTGCCTGACTTTAGGAGCAGGTGGGACCAAGAGACTGCATGCTCAGGTGTCTAACCTTCTGCTGATTTGCCCTTGACACTGGCTGGACCTCTGAGGGGTCAGATGCATAGCCCACTCTTGGGCACAGTACTTGGAGGTCTTCCATCCTGGAGTTTGCGCTTTGCAAGAGCGTCTGAGTTTCCACTTCCACAGCTTCTCTGCATGCAGGTAGTTGCAGAAAAAAGCTTAACCGGAGGATGTTGTTAGTGGAACTTTAGGTTGTAGGAAATATTTGGAAATAGGGTTTGGGGGGAAATTGTCACTTTCCTTTCCCCAAATAGGGAAAGACTATAAGCAAAATGTGGAATTTTACAAAAGTTTTAAGCATAGGGGCAGCTACGTGGCACAGTGGATAGAGTGCTGGCCCTGAAGTCAGGAGGACCTCAGTTCAAATCTGGCCTCAGACCAAACACTTGACACTTACTAGCTGTGTGACCCTGAGCAAGTCACTTAACCCCAACTGACTAAAAAAAGAAAAGGCTTTAAGCATGGAAAGGGAAGGGACCAGGCCCAGAGAGCAAATATGATGTCAGGAGTGGTGAGTGTCATGGCATTAAGAAAATGGGAAGATGGACCATCTCATGGAGGGAGGAGGGACAGAGGGAGAAACAGAACGTGGAACTCAAAACTTTAAAAAAAACCCAAATGTTAAAAAATTACTTTAACATGTAATTGGGGGAAAAATAAATAATTAATATTATATATATATATATATATATATATATATATATATTTTTTTTTTTTTTTTTTTTTTTTTTAAGAAAAGCAAATGGAAAGATGGAGAAAGGAGGAACAGGTCTGGCCTTGGGGTTGAGTGAGCTAGGGCATGGCCAGGATCAGTGGATTAGGGGAGGCTATAATGGAATCAGTCCCAGATTTGGCTCCCAGGTTGACCTCAACTTTGACCCAAAGCTCCAAATGGTGGAAAGAAATGCTGCAACATTGGTAATGGAGAGAGTGGATTTTCCCTCTTGCCCTGACTGTTGGAAGTCATTCTAGTTGCTGGGAGGGTCTGCCAGTCCTGGGCACTGGGGGTTGAAAGGATACACAGTGAAAGAATGAGCTGGAAGATCTGGAAGAGATTCGATTCAAAGCATTTAGTAAGCCCCTACTGTGTTCTTAGTCCTTCACTGGGCCCTGGGAATCAAAAGGCAGAAATGAAACAGTCCTTGTCCTCAGGGAGTTTATATTCTACCAGAGGGAAGAGAGAAGCTAGTAAGTCCAAGGAAACTGGGCAGAGGATCTCAAGCTGTGATTTGGGGGATAAAGTGGAATTTTTTAACGTTTAGTGTTGGGTCGGCCATTATTGTTTTCAGTGGACTTCTTCAAGGTGGATGGTATCTCCAGAATTTCTTTTTAGCC